ACCATAATACTGTTGAATTGTGAAAATTTGAACCTTGATGTGAGTCCTTTTGGTTTTCATATGTAATGTTTTAGTTTTTAATAATTTACAACCTTTATTTATTATATTTTAATTTATTTATACAGTGAAATGTTTAACTCATTAATTAATTATACAACGAGAAAAATACATTTATACTCGGGTTTGGAATATGTATTTACAGTGGGTTTTTTAAAATTATTTTTATGGCTATGTAAAAAATTTTAACTTATACAATAACTTATCTTGTTTTATTATTGTTACTTTTTAGTTTGTGGTAGTAGTACTGCTGATGAGGGGCATGATAGCCCGAAACACTTGTAATATGTGTACAGAAATTATTACTACAGGTGATATAATAAAGAAATTTTGTTCTTTCCTGAACTAACTCTCATTGCTGTGCCAATCTTTAAACACCAGTATTAAGTCCTATTAATAAGTAAAGTCCAAGTAGACAATTAACAATAACATTAGAATTTAAGGATAGTAAGGCTTTTACAATTAAATCTAGCTATGCAATTACCTAAATTTTTATATATATTTATTTTTAGTATTTTTTTTTAGGCCTAGATATTTTTATAATGCTATCTAAATATAAAAAAAATCAAACAATTTTAATGGAAACAATATGATTTGAATATTTTTATTAAAATGTCTAGCTATAAATTTGAATTTTCAGTTGATAACACTATGTCAGCTAGCTGTAATTAATCAGTCTGCTTTGCGCGGTCATCGTGTGTTCTTGGTTTCTTATGTTGATTATTTTCAAAAACTCAAGTTCCAATGGCTTCAACAAAGCACACTGAAGAAAAACAGCAAAAAAAGGAAAGCTGTTAGGACAACAATAGAAATAAAAAAAATTATTGCTAAGTCTGAAAATGGACAAAGTAGAGAGGTTGCGGCCAAAGTTTTCATCTCTAAAACATGAACGTTGAATACTGCTATTTCTTGTAAGTCTAGAAGTTTGATAATGGCATTTCTAACATCGAGCATTATTCCAATGACACTCCAAACGCCATTGTCAAACTTTTAGACTTACAAGATGGCACTGCTCAATGTTCGACATTCACGTTTTAGAGATAAAAACTTCAGCCGCAACCTCTCTAGTGTTTCCAACTTAGCCAAAGAATTTAATATGCCAAGATCATAATTGGAAATTACCTAATGTTTTAATTGATGGCATGTCTTCTTCTAAACAATAATAATCTTATTCTTCTTCCCCTTTTACCACTATACTGTATTTATTTAATACAATAAATATAAAGTTTTTATATTTATTATACTAAATTGTAATAAATTTTATATGTATTACAATAATAAATATAAAATTTTTATTCTTGTAATTTTTTTAGGATGGGAACAGATTAATTGAATATCAGTTATTTATTATGAGAAAAATTGTTTCTATATTCATCATTTTCCATATTCGTTAGATCCTTAGGAACAGATTAATGATGAATATAGAGGTTCCACTGTA